TATATATATATATATATATATAGTATCTTTTCGATAAATACACACACACACACACATGTATATAATTTAGTTCGGAGTTTTCTCGGGCGCGGATCTCTCTTTTTCCTAGGTGTGAGTCACGACACCTCGAAAACTTTTCTCACTTTCAAGAACACTCTCGGCGCGGAGCGGCTTCTCCTCGTAAAAGATCACAATTTCCCCGGCAATCACCGGGAGAGGGGGGGGATGAATCCTCGGCGCTAATGCAGCGACAATACAGATGTTTTCGCATCTAAGCGGCGTGCTAAGTGGATCTCACTCTTCCCCCGCGTTCTTCCCTTTTTTCTCTTTCTTTCTTCTTATATCCCTCTCTTTCTCCATCCCTGTGTATTTCCTCCCCGTGTAAAAGCCGAATGGGTGCACCGAAAGTAGCACCGACGTCGAGATCGTTCTTTAAAGTCTCCGCGCGCACGGTTTAGAGAAACCAAAAACCTGGACTGGAGTTTTCCAGAGTAAAGTTTCTCTCTGATCGGTTTTTGACCACAGTTTTTTTTTTTCCAACAATACCAGAAGAGAGAGGAGCGACAAAATCGCGCGCAACACACATACCTGATTTCTCTCTCCGGCTTCCGAAGTCGCTCCCGATATCTCACCGAACTCGTTATTATAGATCTTTTCGCTTACACTTGACCGCATGCCTTTCTGCCTTTTTCTTCCTCCCGAGCCGCTCGGGATAATTGGATGAAAGACGTGAAAAACGTTCACAGATTTACGGGATTCCCCGCCGAACGGGAACCCCCCGTGAACTATGTGTGCGCGTATCCCCCCCCCCCGGCGGGACGTCTCTCGCAAGAGAAACGATACTTTTATGAATATATCTCGTCCTCGGCAAGACGAAAGGCGTGACGTTGTTGACGTCGTCGGTTTTAAGAACATTTGTGTTCGAGAAACTTCCCTTCCTCCCCTTCGGGCCCTCGCTGTGAGCGATTCTTCCGAAAAATTTCACGCTCGTTTACTTCTTAGACATACTTGACGGACGAGAAGCACATTGTAACGCATGTAATTACCGGCTGTGTGTAACATATCCGATTTGGTTTGTCGTTTCAAAGGGGCGAAGAGAACGGGGTCCGCGTTCAAGAAATACAAAGTTATGAGTGGTCATAAAACTGTGTGTGTGTGTGTGTGTGTGTTGAGAAGTCTCAACTCGCGTATTTTTTGATTTGTTAAATTCACTGTGTGTTTATTTTTTTTTCACACTTGACAGAGTTTTGGAGCGATTAAATCTCGTTGTATAAAATAAGGCGCGCGCGCGAGGACATCGCGTTTAAGAAAAAAGAAATTTGAAATTTTTTAAGAGGATTTCGCGCGATTAAGTACTTGCTAAAC